AGAGTATTCGTCTTAATTTATTTTTTTTACTACTAACCTGAGAAGTAGTCATTATTCAATCTATTTTTCTCGGAAAAAATTGAATTTCTCTCCCTAGGTTAATAATGAAAATAATGAAAAAAAAAACAAGGATATTGTCATAACGTTACAGGTTTCTATTGGTTTAATTTCAATTTCAAACTGTCAATTTAATCAAAAAAACAGGTTCCTGTATGTATCATAGGAAATTACCATAGATGTTGATAGAGGGCAGCACTTCCAACTAGAAAAAATAATTTGAGCACAGATTTCAAACTTATTTTTTATTTTCTACTATGGCATTAGTAAAATAGTATATTATATACCTAGGTAGAGAAGTTGGTCCTTATATACCGAGCGCTTTTATAAATCGAGGCGCTCGCGCCGAGGTTTATAATGAGTGAGGTATATAATGACTTTCTCTACCGAGGAATATATAGAATTTTTTTTACTACTGCTAGTAGAAAATGAAAAATTTGTTTAAAATCTGTGCTCCAATTATTTTTTTTGAACGCCCTCTTGAAAGTGCTGCCCTCTATCAACAGCTTATGATAACTTCCTATGTACCTACAGAAACCTGTATTTTTTTTCAAATTGACGTATGGAAATGAAATTGAACCAATAGAAACAAGACAATATCCTTGCGTCATGACGTCATTTTCATTATTAACCTAGGTATTTTTTCATTATTTTCATTATTCACCTAGGGAGAGAAATTCAATTTTTTCCTAGAAAAATAGATTGAATAATGACAATTTCTCAGGTTAGTAGTAAAAAAAAAAATTTATATATTCCACGGTAGAGAAAGTCATTATATATCTTACGCATTATAATGACCAACTTCTCTACCTAGGTATATAATGTACTATTTTTACACATATTTTATTGGTAGTAGAAATTTTTTTACATGCAATACGTGTGTAGAGTGGACCTTTTTGCATTCTTGTGATTGTCGCACGAGCCGAAGGTTCACTTTACACACTTGTTGCATAAATAGATATTTCGGATTTCTTGACTTCTTTGTTCTGTATTCCGAAAAACCTTTATGGAAATCCTATAGTCTTGTGGCACAAACTGTGGTGGAATTATGCCTGTGTTTCATATATAGTACTGAAAACTGATTGCAGATGTTCTATTGTGGTGTCGCGAATTTCATAAATTTCTGCGGGAATATTATCACTTATGATTATAATTTTTAGGTGCGTTGATTGCCAGTTTTACTTTATCGGCTGTTATTTCCTGGTCAAGAGAGGGGATCAAGTTGTTTTCTAAATTCAGAATCGTAAAATAGTGCTCTTTCCACCTCTTCCTGATTTCTGGATCTTCTGTCAGGAGATCTCTGTTGACAACTATTATGCGGCAAGTCTTTCTATAAGTAACACCGTACACTACTTTCACAACGTCATAAAGCGTGTCAATGAGTTTGTTTCTTGATTTCTTCGAATTTTCTGTGCGCCAGGATGGTTTGGATTATTTTGCAGTGCCTGCAAAGCGTTATATGCTTATTATCTAGGATATCTTTAATGAGTTCGCTAGTATCATTAAACCAGTCCAAACTGTGGGCGTAAGCTGGTTTTTTCATTCACTAGTCTCATACAGTACATCGCGTAGTTCTGACCAAGATGATTTTGTCACATTGTTGATTGGAAGTGATACTTTCTCTTCAACTGTCCGACGTAGTGAATTTGTAACTTCTGGAGATGCCAGTCTTTCCAGATTTAGGCGTGGCCTTTTGGCATTTTTAGGCATTCTTTTGTATCGAGGTTTCAAGTTTTAGCAATATCTTGGGAAAAACAAGTAGTTTTCGATGAACGGTATAGTTTTTGTGATATTATTACCTCTCTCAACTGCGACTTTTTGACGATTACATAGTCAATGGAGTGCCAATGACCAGACCTATGGTGAAGTAATAGTACGGGATACGACGTCTATTTGATCAAATTATTTTACACCGTCTTGCATTGTTATCATCAGTTAGATAACATGGTGCTGAAACGCACTTGCGCAGGGGATCGGAGTGGGGGATTTCGCTGATAAAAATGTTCGAGAAAATGTCGTCATAAACAAGAAGGAGATATAATTATACATCGTCTTGCATTTACTTATTAAGTTAATTTGTACACAAACAAAATTGGATTAACCTATGGAAGACGTTTTCATGGGGGTTTGGGGGCTGCAATATTAGATGGAAATTGTCAATTTTTGAGAGGGGTGAAATATCATTTTATGTACGACCTCCACTGTAAGAGCTTATCACGTAACTCATTTTAGCCTGTTTGAGTTACGTAATAAGTTGCATTATAGTGCTTTAGTGATGTAATGAGTTCATTACATCTTTCAGTGATGTAATGAACTCTCATGTAATGAACTCTCATTACATCACTCAGTGATGTAACGAGAGCTCATTACGTAACTCATTTTTACTGAAAAACGGCACTTTTTGAAATTCATTTATCAAAAATTATAAATATAATCTTTTGTGAAAAATTAAAACCATTTCGAATATATGAAAAAAATCTGGGTCGTACATAAAATCTTGTACATCACACGTACGGTAACGCTCATTACACCACTCGTGTGATTACCACGACTCGGTATACGATCTCGTCTTGGTAATATTCCCCACTCGTTACTGTAATGAAGCTCATACCGTACTATTAATCTATTATCTACAAGCGTTTGGTTATGACATTTTTACATAACCATTTTTCTAGTATTTGAGTAATGTTATGAGACCTATAACATAACACAACTATAGTCACTAGTGGACAGTGGTGTCATGGACTAGGTTATGAGTCTATAACCCAACTAGTGGTGTTATGGACTAGGTTATGAATCTATAACACGACTGGTTTTTGCGATTTGACAAATGTCATAGTTAAACCTGTTAAGGTAAAATGAAGATAGACAACTACATACTAATAAACGAAAATTGCAAAAATATTTTCTTATTTTTCACTTCGTAGATAAAACGTTGTACATCACACGTGCGTTTACCTAAACCATGACTACAAAACTCGTGTGATTAGAACGACTCGGTCTTCGACCTCGTCGTTCTAATTTTTTACACTCGTTATTGTAATCATGTTCATAAACGCACTTGTAATGTAAATAACTATTACACTACTCCATTGTTAATTTAGATTTAAGTTTGAATGTAGAAGAGCCACTGGATACTGATGCAAGACGTCCAGTCGTCCTGTACTTCACCTCCGTCTTGCAGTCTTTTTTTCTCATTTAGAACGTCTTCTATTTTCAAAAATGTCATCAAAGAGTTCTATTTTTCTCATTAGTCATTAGTACCAGTGCAAGACAGTGTAAAATGATTTCTCACTCCCTCATAAGACATCGCATTGACCTCCGTCTTGCAGCCCGGAATCCCTCCACATGACGTCTTATGCATCAGTATCCAGTGGCTATTCAAGTTTTAATCTGAATCAAATATGAAGTGGTGTAAAATGGTATTTCACCACTCACAAAAATTGACAATTTCTATCTAATATTGCAGCCCCAAAACCTCCTTGAAAACAGGGTAATCCAATTTTGTTTGTGTACAAATTAACTTAATAAGTAAATGCAAGACCGTGTATAATTATGTCTCTTCCTTGTTTATGACAACATATTTTCTCAAACATTTTTATCAGCGAAATCCCCCACTCCGATCTATTCCCCTGCGCAAGTGCGTTTCAGGTTTCAGCTCCATGTTATCTAACTGATGATAACAATGCAAGACGGTGTAAAATGATTTGATGAAATAGGCGTCGTATCCCGTACTATAATGTTCCTTTGTACTTGTTTTTTTGACGAAATATCGTGTTGGTAATGACGAGAGCTCAGCTTGACGACCCACTCTGGCATTGAAGTCACCTAGAAAAGCCAAAATTATCCGGTGTTGTCTGAGAACATGTCTGACTTTGCTATGCTTTGGATACTGAATATACTTTCCACTGGTAATGATATACCAGGGCCGTGAAGGACTACTACTATGGTATCAATTTTTAATCCAGATTTCAAAAAAACGCAGTAAATAATTTGTACATACTCAATTTATTCGCATAAGATAAATTTTGGTCTCGACCTTCTCCAATAATAGACTGCAAAACATCTACAACAAGGACTAGGTATTATATGCTAGTTGCAATATTTCTTCGTGTTCTAGCTTTTCTCTAAATTGAGCCACAACATACTTTCTGTAATTATCATCTTCTAAATATTTCTTATAGGTAATTGAAATTCTGGAACCACGCCCAAAATGTATTTTCGAATCTGATCTATTCAATAATGGTTCTAGCTCTGCTATATTTCAATTGCGTACAAACCGCTAAATTTTAATAAGGTACTTAAGTATTTTTAAGAAATACAATTTTTTTTGCATGTACTTGATGAAAGGATTGGTACAAGTTGAATTATTATACTAATTAGTGTTTCCTTTGAATAATGGATTAGCAATTACTAGGTAGTAATTTATTGCTCAGGTAGGTAACTTATTGTGTCGTCTCCTTTATATTACAACATTGTGCATTCTCAAATTTGATTACTATACACCATATCTCATTAAATTAAAGGAAATAAAACAATGTCAGTAATGTCCAATGTTTCGATTCGTTTTAGGAATAAATTCTTCAAGTGTGGTAGACATAATTTCTCCCTGGTCACGAAAAAGATTGACAAACAAATCTTGAAATCCGAAGAAAACGAGACGATATGCAAAAGCTAATTTTTTAAATAGTAATTTTAGCATCCAGATGGTTGCGTCACTGATTTAGATACTGTGGGGTTCAACACCAATTTTATATACATAGAATCTCGATATTCTACATATTTTTTTCCAATTTTTCTAGCTTATAGACAAACAGACAAAGTTATATCAATGTTACTAAAAGTGTCTGTGGTTTACGATGCTGATAATAAATGATACATTTTTATTCCAAACTTCTTTTTATTACAAATTACAATAATCCTTTGCTTGTTATAATGATAAGTTAGGATGTTATGCAATCATCATCAGTAGGAATAACTTCAGAGAGCAGATCGACAAAATCGTCAAAGGGACAGAAAGTAGCACAGCCAGGAATAGTTAAAAATTTAGGTTCAGCAGTGGTCCAATCTTGATAAAATACCTAGGTATGAAGTCACTGGATAAAAATTATTCAATATATGAGTAGGTATAAGTACCTTAAATCCAAATATACCATTAATTTTGTGTAATTCGACCAAAACGTGACACCCATATGCAGGAATTTTGTCTTCATATACACCAAGTGTTCGTAGAAAATAACCCATATTTGTTTCATGAGCCGAATAAATGAACATTTTCCTCTGCTCAGGAACAAGAGTTTGTTCAATTTTTGCTTTAGAATCGTTTATAATTTTTCTCAGCAAGAACCCTCCTGCGATTTTTGTCAAGGCAGTCGTATTGGTTCCAATATAGTACCGGTCTTTGGTGACTTTTTCCAAATTTGGCATTATTGTTTCTAGCCAGCTTTCCAAAGCGTAACCGAAGTCTCGCTAAATAATAATTTTAAGATTGTTGGTAGAAGATAAAAAAAAATATATTACCTACCTGAGCAAATGAGTCATAATACAAATCAAAAAGGCTATTTCGATTGACGAAATTTTCCCCAGTATGCTTGGAAACATACTCGTACAGATCCTTATATTTGGACAGTAATTTTTGGATTTCAGTCGAATTCTCCACCTCGTCGAATAAAACATTATAGTTCTGGCAGACACTAGTACCAGACAGTTCTTTGTCGTTCGATAGATAATTGTACGGTATCGGTTGCCAATTCAGCGTCGGTTCCCAAAGCTGATTGCCTTTCGGTGGCCACAAACCTGCCAGCATCAATTCCAAAGACATTTTGGTTCTATTGGAGTTTGTGGTTCTAGCGTCCAGAAGGTTAATGTTGTAGGTATCCCCTAAGAAATCGTCGTATCTTTTTCGTAGAGTGGTTCCTAGACGGTATTCGAGTTTTTTACCTTCCTATATAGAAATAATTTTATGTTTCTATTTGTAGGTCAGATTGGTATTGCCTACTTACATTAGTTAACTGTCCCAATCCATAAGGCATATAGTAACTTTCATCCGAAATGGGGTTGTTCTTGTAAGGAATAGAGTTTGGTACGCGATTGCCATGTCTAAATAACTATTTAAAAAATAATAATTAGATATATTTATTACCTATATTGAAAGCTACTTACAGTATGGACTAAAACCAAAGTGTCTTCGCCACTCTTGACCACTATAGCGCAAAAGCACACTAAGGCCGAGAAAATAAGGCCCGAGATGAGCACTACAGCGACTTTGAGGCAGTTCATTGTTAGATGAATGCTTGATTTTCCATGGGTTTTGGTCCTATTTATGTTGCATGAAAATTTAAAGCACATGGATTATCTGGCATTAGCATTAAGCGTTTTATTTGCCTCACATGCAGGAAACGTGTTGGCAAAAAATAAATTTTAATGTGTCCTAAAATGGACATATACCTACCTAACAGTGGCGCAGAGATGTAAGAAGATCATAAAAAGCCTAGTTAGAGGGCGATGATGACCAATAGAACATCTCTTGCCATGACTAAAGTTTTAGGTTTTAAATAAAGTTCTTCAGTTCTTTTTTGGGTAGGTTGAGTGTTGGAGCCTATAAGGACGAAATTCTTCCTGAAATAAGGAATCTGAAAGACGAGAAACGTAAGGATGATCAAGGACAAAACATTACAAGCCAGCAAAATGATCTTTATAACGAGAATAAGTAATTTTTTTGTGAATTAACCCAAAAATGTCTCGTTACACCGCACTGGTAATAAGAGTTATCTTTAGGCTCCAAATACCTCCGAATTGCACTCACGAGACATAATCGTGTGTTCAGTGTATACACGTTTTACTACATTTTATTAGTGCGAGATAATATTTAGCAACATTATCGTCATTTAAATTGGATTTATTATATGTATTTTGCGATTAATATTTCCTATATACATGTATAATTCAATTTGTTTTTCAGGAGATCAATGCTTTTTCAAAAGTGACAGGCTTGTATGAAGTAGCTTTTCTTTTGCTCCTCAGTAACCAGTTGTTTCCAATAGCAAATCATCAATACTGATGTTTTCACTGTTATCAGTAACATCAGAGTAATATACTTTTTTTTGGATACTTGTAGACTTGCAGAGAAAGACTTGAAGACTTTGAAAAATGCTTAGAGCAATCTCAAACTAATAGATTTCACACGATCACAAGTTTATTCAAAATTAACATCAATGTAGTTTTTCAAGTAGACTCTCTGAGAACTAAAAAGAGCTTGTTGATAGGAAATTTCAGGTTTTAGAACTGTCATAATGTAAAGAAAAACCTCCTGAGACCTCAGGAAAGAGAAGCTCAGAGAATCAACTCCATTGAAGGATCAGGAGTAGGTAGGTACCTAATAATCCCGTCGGATTAAACCTTTTTGTATATGAAATTAGCAGCTTTGGCACAAAATATGCATGTCAGCTATTGTCTTATTTAGCCTTTCTGTTAATCCGTTACAGCATGGATGATATGCTGTCGTAAATTCCTTACTAACTCCGATTGGAAGACTCATGTATCAAAAATACTTTTTCTAATAAAAATTTTGCGACTGGTCCTGCTTTTCTTTTTGGTAAGGCGGCTGTGATGGCATATCTTGAGGCGTAATCGGTAACAACTACTATCATTGTTTTTTCCTTATTACTTCGTCTAAATGGACCCAATAGGTCGATGCCAGTCTTGTCGGAAATCGTTCCTACTTGTATTGGTTGTAATAACCCTGGTGTTTTTCTATAAGGTTGCCCCTTCCTTGCCTGGAAATCCGGACATCTTTTCACGTATTTTTCTATATCCTTGAGCATTCCATCCCAATAAAATCTGCTAATAATTTTCTCTGTCGTTTTGCTGAGCCCTAAATGTCCGCTTGTTGGTGATGTATTAGTTCCCATAGAATTTCTTTTCTCATTGTTTGTGGCACTATCCATACTTTTTCTAATCCCTTTTGTGTTTCATTTACTTTGTATAATAGGCCTCCTTCGATCCTAAATTTTTTGCTCTTCGTCTGGTAAGAATGTCAATTGCTGGATCGTCTGGAATTCCTACAGCTTTGAGGAGTTGTTTTAAGCTTGGGTCTGCTTTTTGTAACGTGGACATTTTCGATGTTTTTCTCCCTTGTCATTCTCTTGTAAAAAAACTGCCCCTATTCCACAGGTTGCTGCGTCAGTGTGTAGGATAGTATCTTTGTTTGGATGGAAATGCTGTAGTACTGGTGCAGAAAAGCTTTTCTTTGAGAGTGTTGAATGCTTCTTCTTGCTTTGTACCCCATTTGAAGCCTATGCCTTTCTTTGTTACTTTATGCAATGGTCTGGCTATTGATGCAAAATTGTAAATAAACTTTCTATAAAAGTTGCACAGTCCAAGAAAGCTTTGTACATCTCTAACTTTCTTTGGTGTGGGAAATTTTCTGATGCCAACTATTTTTTCTTTATCCGGTAAAAATCCTTGCTCATTTACATTAAAGCCTAAATTGATTTCCTGTTTTAAGTATTCGCATTTGCTTGGTTTAGGCGTAAGAGAAGCTTGTCTTAATCGTTCAAAAACTTTTCTTAGCTTTTGTAAGTGTTCTTCGAAAGTTTGGGAAAATATGATGATGTCATCCAGGTAAATTAGCACTTCTTTCCATTTCATGTCCCAGAAGACCTAATCCGCAAGTTCTTGGAAGGTTGCTGGGGCATTGCACAGCCCAAAACTTAGTACGTTAAACTCGTAGGTTCCATGCCCTTGTACCACTAACGCTGTCTATTGCTTTGAACTTTCCTCTACTGGAACTTGCCAATATACAGAAAACATGTCGAGGGTGCTGAACCATTTTGCATTGCCTAGGTATGACAAGATGTCGTCGATCTGCGGCAGTGGGTAAGTTGATTTTTTTCTTACACTGGTTATTTTCCTGTAATCTACGCAAAATCTGGTTTTCCCATCCTTTTTCTTCACTAGCACCACTGGACTGGCCCATGGAGAGTGGCAAGGCCTAATAAAGTTGCTATCAAGCATTTCCTGAATTTGTTCGTCTATAATCTGTCTTTCTTTCTGTGATACCTGGTATGGGCGACTTTTGATTGGTCTGGCGTCCCCAACTTCTATTTTGTGTTGTGTTAAGTTGGTTTTGCCCATTCGTTTTGTCGATTTTTCAAAAACGTCATTATATTCAAGAAGTAGTTTTATTTTTAGTGCCTGTTTATTTTCCTCGTTTGGAATTCCGTTCACTTTATGGTCACCTATCGTTACTTCTCCGTTTTCCTGGATCTTCTCTTCTTGTAGCATGAGATTGTAGGAGTGATGTATTTCTGTTGTTTCCAAAAATGCCATTATTGTTCCCGCGTAAAACGCTACTGGATTCCGTGTATATGATTTCACTTTTAATATAAGGCTGCCTTCATTTGTGTAAATGTGTGTTTGTAGTACCAGATGATTTTTTGCTAACCAGTCCAAGTTATATCTGCATTGGTAGCCTACATTGTTCTCATTTTCACTATTTTCGTCCATAATTTTTAATTGCAATATTTTTACTTCATTTTGAGACACCGTATAATCTTTAGTAACACCTAATTTGTGTACTTTATCTTTAGTTTCCGTACTGATTTGCATTAGGTTACTGATTTCCTCTTCGGGTTTTTCTTCTATTTTATGACTTGGTCCATCTCTGTATATAAGAACCGTGACGCCCGTGTCCTTGAATAGAAAATATAAAATTTGTTTGAATCTTACCCATTCTTTTCCTAATCCCCATCCTTGTCTTGGGATAACTAATTTTTCAACCGATTTTCCTGTGATGCTGGTCCTAAAGTTCATTCCACCTAACGAGATAGTAGAGGTAAACAAACAGGAGGAGCTTAAAAATTCAGAGAAGGACTGCAAAAATATGAATTACAACTAATAACATTTATTATTGTCAGGTTGTCATATGAGTCAATTATTTAAATAGTGTTTGGTGAATTATTGTTAATTAGTGAGCAATTTAGATTAAAACAATATCAAGTTCAACAAATTCCGCTGAAGAATTCGTTCGGAAATATATTCAGCGAAGAGAAATACAAAACAACCTAGGACGGTCCTGCCTTGGGTGGAGTATAATCCTTTTCTAGCCAATAAAATTCGACTTACCTGTCAAAGTTTGTTTACTGTCACTATCTCGTTTGGTGAAATGAACTTTAAGTGCTCTAGACAATTATATATATTTCTTGGAGTTGGCTTTTCTCTCATGGATTTTCTTGTAAATAGAAAAATTGCCGATTCTTTCCCATGTTTTGTTATCGCTAACTCTCCTATGGTCCCCTTTTGCCTATTTCTAGGAAGCAAATGCCTGTATTTCTTAAAAATTGCCTTTTTCGCTTTGTATTCTTGAGTTACAACTACTTCTAAAACGGCGTTAGTTGGTAGAGTGCCTATATTTTCATTTTCTTTCTTTAGGAAACCGTTGACCTGGTCGGTTGTTATGTTAGTGTGGCCTTTCATGAATTTGTTGAACTCCAGTTCATCTTTTTTCAAATTAGAGGGCTGCTTCTCTTTGACTGGCTGTTTTATTGAAACTAGGCTGGTCATAAGTCTTTTTTCGTTGTTTGTGTGCCTTAATTCTGTGTTTCCCTTTAAAATTAGTTCTTTGTGCGTGGGAGATCTATAATTGCCTTATTTTTTAATAAAAACTCCATTCCTAAGATAATAGGTTGTGTTAAAGATTAAATAACTTTGGCGTTCAGTGTCACACTCTACATTGGACTTCCTGGTATTCTTATTGGAATTTCAGTGTCTCCTAAAACTTTTATCTTGTGTCCTGCAGTAACTAGGACCGTATCACTATTTTCTGATATTTCTCCCTGTATTATATCCCTGTGCAATACATTATCCTGGGCTCCTGTGTCAATCTTGTCATTTTTTATTATTATGTTTTATGTCTCTTCTACAAAAATTGGAGGCCAATGCTTTTCAGAGGGGGGTCATATGTCAACAGAGTGAATACCACTCTGTACATCAATTTTACTAAAGTGTGTCGACGAGTCAGCATTTATTTGGTATAAATACCGCGCCGAAATCCATTACCGTCCGACTAAGGCTAGTCTAAAGTACCTCTAATGGAAAAAGCCCGTCTAGCTAAGTCTCCTCCCAGTGCCAACTACCTTTAATGGGAAACGCCCTTCTACTCCCAGAAGGGCGCAGCAGACTATAGGTCCAGTGCAAACTACCTTTAATGGGAAACGCACTTCTGGACCTGTCTCAAACCTAGCTTCAGTCTTCAGTCACGCCAAGTGTACAGAGGGTAGGTACATAATACAGAGTGGCCTATTAGTAATACGTCCCTCCGTAGAAGAGACGTCATGATACTATTTCTAGGGTATTATTATTATTATTCAATACATTATCTTATTATACCTATACCAAGCGAGTTTCCCTCTACCTGAACCCCACCTACGCCCCCGGGTCACGTTCCTGTTGTGACGTCCCAGGACGAAACGTATAGGGGTTGTGATAATATGGAGAGCCCAAAGTTCTAACATTTAGTAGGCAGTTATTTTTATAAAATGATCATTAGGACCCCCCAAACTCGATAAAGGTAATTATAGTGAGATTTGAAGCCGGAATATATGAAAAAAGGATGTCAGGAAAATTGAAAAATTCACGCCACATCACTTAACGCGATTTTATCCCTGGAACTATAATTCCAAATAAGTCGAAAGGGTTTGTAGTCCTCTACAGGATAAGAATCATCTATAATAGAAAAAAAGTTATGATTTTTCGAAGATCTAAATCATAAGAAATTTGAATTCAATTTTTTTCATAGAAAACTTTGGTAGCATACATAGGCCCACCAATTCTGAAGCCTACCCAACCACCCTAATAATAATAATAACCTAAAAAAATATTCGTTTAATTTTTTCATAAAGTCACATTGCGTGTCTGAATTTTTATCTACAATAAATAGTGTCCTTTTAGGTGTTTGACCCGTGAAATCGATTATAAACTGTTTTAACACCATATAACTATATGCGTTTTTTTTATTCCTTCATATGGGCCAAATTCTTAAAGTTTCAACTCAATCTACCTTACTTGAAATTTCATGTGTAGCTTTATTGCAAGTAGGTAAATAAACTGCAGATAAAGATAAATCAAATATGAGACTGTCAACAAATTTTTTTTTCTATTGTTATATCGAAAACTCCTCTAAAATGTCCGAACAGAAAACAAATAATAATCAATCAATCGATTGTACAAAACTATTTAATAATGTATACCCTACCTTTACAATTTTAGTCAGGTAATGGGGGCTATTTGTATGGATAGTTCATAGGACAAGTTCAGTGGTTAAGGAAATTTCAGGACCAGTAAAATTTTTATACATCGAGCGATTTCCTTGAAGACATTGTCTATAAATATTTTTTTTCAGGTCAGGGCAATGTACGTACATGTTATGTACGACATACATTTGAAATAAAAACGTCCCTAATGACACAAGGACATTTTAGGATATGTTTCAGGATTAGGATCTCATTGAAATCTTGTATTATTTCAAGAAAGGCTTTTGTCTTCGAAATAGATATAAATGCTAGAGGAATAGTACATTAAAACCTCACTGGAATATCATCAATATGGTTCTGGCGCATGGGGGGAATTTTCATAGAACATCCAGGAAGTGTTAATGAATCAGTTAGACATATTGGACATTCGTTCTTGGGATTTCACATAGGTACTTAAGATGTTCAGGATAGTACCTCCTATAATCCATCATATCACAATTTTCTAAAAATTATATGATGCATCAAATTTCCTTTAATCATTACTTTTACCCCAAATAAATTAATGTAATTAATCTTGTATTGCGCAATTTTTTTTTTTCTACCTATTTATTATGCAAAAGATCTCATTATACAAGGCCGATTAATTTATATTGTTGTAGAAAATTCATTAACGGTATAACGCTAAAACTCCCTCAAATAATGTTTATTAGGTAGATACACGTCCATCGTCCATACATGGTTTTGAGGAAACGACCATTACATTTAAAACACAATCGTTGGTGGACGCTTTTAATATCCATCAATTTTTTTTTTTAGATATTCTTATTTAAAAAAATGGGTTAGGGTATATATTTGTCTAAATAAATTGAACAATTATGTAGCTAGATCAAGATAAGGTATTTTAAAAAAACACATATGATAACTTGATCAAATAAGCAAAATCTACCATGGAGAATTATGGATACGTGCCCGATGAAAGCAATAATGGAAGACCCTATACGATTTCAAGTAAGTATCCAACCCCAATTATTTCAATAATTATTAATCTTTTAAAGGACCTAACTCAGGATCAAAAAACAATCTAGTAGGAGTCAACTCAAGATTCAACCCGTAAGTTATTCACTCATTACACTTCAACAACCATAAAATAAATTATTGCAGCACAAAAAAATCTATTTACTATCAAAGAGCTACCGTTTTACTTGCTGCTGTGGTTGTGATTTTGCTTATCGGGTTCGTGACGGTTGTGACTTTATGTAAGTAATGTTAATATCCATTATTTCATCCATCAATTTGATAGCTTTTTTGTAGATACTAAATCTAAAACTACACAAACCCACGTTTGCACCACAAACGAATGCATTCGTTCGGCGGCCAACCTCAAATACTCGATAAACTTTTCAGTCGACCCTTGCGAGAATTTTTACGAATTTTGCTGCGGTAGTTGGTCCAAGGAACACCCCAACCATGGGTGGTATTCGAGTTTTTCGTCGTTTACAACTATTACTGAAAAAATCGTTTTGGAGTCTATGGAAGTTTTGAGCGAGGGAGTCAAAGATGGCGAACCGTTGGTTGTGAGCCAGGCTAAAATGTTTTATGCATCCTGTTTGGATCATGGTAAGAATTAAACGGATATGAGCTACCTTCACTAGTTTATTTTAGCACTATTTATTCGATCTCTATGTAGGTATTCTGAATTTCAATACTAATACTCTGTGTAGGTATAGGTATTCGAATATTTACTATGGATTCCAAAGATCTTTAAGACTTTGAAGCGTATATATCAAATTCTCATGAATTAAGACTTAGGATCCAACACGGAAGATTGAAGAATTGGAAGGCCCTTGATGCAAAACCTTTGACATTTTTCAAAATTTCGAAGGTTTGTGAATTATTAGGACTCAGGTCTTCAAAATTCTATGACTTCAAAGTGTATTAAAGCTTCATATGATTTAAGACTCTAATGAATAACATGGAATATTAAAGAGTTTGAAAGCCCTTATTGATTCAAAGCCTTTGAAAATTTTGAAGATTTCGAAGGCTCATGAACTAGGACCAAGGACTCAGGTCTCAAAAGTTCTATGACCCCGAAGTATATGAATGATTGATGTTGTGGAAACAGCCAAACAATCATATTTATTTTTTATGATCACAGTGGCAACGTTGCAAAAAAGCCCCCCGCCGTGAAAAACTTGCGAAATGGCGCCGTACCAGGCTGTACCGTATCGATCGAGTCTGGTTGTTTGTCGCTAGGGGAAAAAATGCATTCCCTCTCTTTTTCACTTCGCAGTGTGATTTGTGATTTTAGTAGTGTGGTTTCACTAGCAGTAAATAGTGCGTAAAAACGTCTAGCTCTATACAAGTTTGAACCTGCTCACTTTTCTCTAATTATTTAATTATTTTCTTTAGTTGCACCCTTGTGCAGTCTCTCTCTCGCTCTCTAAATAAAAAGACTTATTTTCCTATCTCTCTGGCTGCTGGCTTGAAAACTCAAGTGATATAATATCGCGTAAAACATTGTGTTAATCACACTCCCCTTTTTTAAGGGCTCTCTAAAAATATAAAAACTCTCAACTCCCGAAGATTTCTATTAAGAATAAACTTTATCTTGTGCTCTCAATTAAAATATTAGCGTTCCGCTAATACTGACAATTATTGTTAAATTGACTATTGAGCACTTAGCAACTAGTGAATTTATACCGATTAGTGAATGTTCTCGAATAACTCAAATGCGACTTGTTAACTAACCTGTGAATAATTAAAAGTACTTGAATGTGGTTATAGTATTCATTACTTTATTAAACGATTATTTTGGCAACAATAGAGAGATATAAAACTGGAAGTGTGAGTGCATTATTTAGCAGTGACATTCCCATCCCCTTTATGATCCAGTGATCTATCCCTAAATTAAATGTTGACACCTCAGTTAGAGGCCCTAACAATTGATGAGTTTAAAGGCCCTTCATTTATTTCGAAGGCTATTGAATTAAGGATTCAGGTCTTCAAAATTCTAGACATTGAAAACTTTGGAAATTTTAAAGACTCTTTAGGATTAATTTTCTAAAATCTTAGAATAAGGAGATTCAATTTTGAATTAGTAGATATGGTACCTAAAAAGATTAAAGACTTTAAAAATTCTCAATCCCTTGATTTATAGCTTTGGATAACACGAAAGATATGTGATTGTGACTCGCTTTTCTATATTTTTGAATAAAGACTCTACTGATGTAGACTCATAATAGCTATTTATGTACCAAGGGGATTATGTAGATCATAATGCCCGAAGGCGAAACTAGCCCGAGGGATATATTTCGCCTGAAGGGCATTATAATCTAATAATCCCCGTGGTGCATACAATGCTTTATTTTCTACTCAACGCGATGTTCTTCCATCAATTTAATATCAAACAAAATCAGGGTGCTTATTCTTGAAACAGGGAAGCAGCGGTCCCAGGAGAACGAGTGTTTTGTCTTTGTTTCTTATATTGTCATTTGCATATCATTGAGAAAGACGGAACACTCTTTCTCCTGGGAACACTGCTCCCCTGTTTCAAGAATAAGGACCCAGTTAAACTTGTGTGACAGAATATTGTTTTGTATTTTGACATGTACCTGTACTTGTGACCTATACCTAGAAACGAAATAAATTAATATACGTATAAACATCTCATAAGGCAAAGCCACGGTGGTCGTGTGAGTTAACGCACTTGACTACATGGGAAACGTTAATGGTAGACCGGGTTCGAATCCTGGCCAGACCGAAAATTATTTTCAGTCGGACAATTAGTGGCTGCCTAGGGTAAAGTGCAAATTAATGAAACAACAACAACAAAAACACCTCAGGGTATTATAAAAGGGCGTTATGGATCATAATGCCCTCAGGTTGTTATAGGTATGTTAACGTATTTCGTTTCCTAGGTATTATGGATCTTTAATAGTTAAGTAGAAAATAAAGATTCTAAAGGCGCCGAAAAATTTCAATATTCTGAGGCTCCTAATTCCCTTCCAAAAACTCTGAAGATATTGGAAACTTTGAAATGTCTCTTGCAAGGCTTAAGACTAAAGATACTTCAAAAGTTCTTGGATTGAAGACTTTGATGATTTTGAAGACTAGTTTCTCAAGAGTTTTCAGTGTAGACCCAAAAGTCTCGGTTGATCAAACACCTGCGTCTGAGGCGTTTAAAGTTTGTGAAGACAGTCAGTGCCTTGATTCAAGGCCTAAAGACTTCGAAGAAAGCACAGAACTGAAGAGTAAAAATTGAAAACTGTCAAGATTCCAGTATCAATATTCTAGATGTTATAAGAGTCTTCGAATTCAATACTTGCTGAATAACTATTCTAGATTTGAGACCCCAGATTCTAAAGCAGACTAGAGATTTTCTAAGCCTCTAGAGACTCCGAGAATCTTAAAGGAGTCTCAAAGCTGATGACTTATCAAAACTGAACACTTTATGAGTCAAAGCCTCTGAATATTCTAGAATGGAACGGAAATTTCTTCAAAAAATTTCAAAGATTCTAATAAGACTTTCACTTGAAGCTTTTGAAGCTCTAAAGATCTTATATAGACTTAAAAGTGTCTCAAATAAGAATTCATGACTTGAAACCAAAGAAAGACACAACACTAAATAATTCTTATGGCTTTAAAGATGCATGCATTCTCAAGATTCCAAAATGAAGCCTCTAATAAATCTAAAGATAGGTACCAAAAAATGTGAAGCTGATGCCCATTTCCTTGATTTTTAGTCCTACAAGCCTCAAAGACTTTGCAGATCTTAATAGGTACCTTGATGGTTTTCAAGACTCATTACTTAAGACTGAAAGGACTGTGCCCAAAGTATACGGAGAATGTGTTTATGTCAGAATTGGCTGAATTTTGTATATATGCCATCTACTCACCAATATACTGTTGAACTATTCAGATAAGACATTCACCTGAAACTTGTAGTTTTTGAAGTAATGAGAATAACTGATATTTGAGTGAGTCAGGTTAGTATCGTACTTGAACAACGTAGGTATTAATGAATAGATGACTGCGGAACTCCCTGCGCTCGTCCCGCAGAGGTCCACCCATAAATTCCGCAACAATCCACTCGTTTGTACTTACGCCTTCCTGATTAGAAGTTACCATTGCACCAATCCTGAAAACTGATTCCTTTTTGAGAAAATTAATTTCATAGGTAGCAAGTAAAACGCTTGGACATTGTAATGAACGTACATACAAATAAGTGGTTTATTGCGGAACTTATGGGCGGACCGCAACCATCTACTCACCAATATACTGTTGAACTGTTAAAATAAGACACTCATCTGACACGTGTAGTTTTTGAACTAATGTGAAAAATTCACAACTGACTGAATCAGGTTGTACTTGAACAACATATTGGTGAATAGATGACTGGGTTCACCCATAAGTTCCGCAACAATCCACTCGTTTGTACATTAATAACTTGTCACAATATATTAGTAGTTTGGTAAAGTAATAACATTACTAATTCCTGTTAAAAGGCAAATTGACAAAAAGTTGATAATCTTACAAATTCTGACTTTATATATTAAGTTACAAGTACAAATACGTGGATTGTTGCGGAACTTATGGGTGGACCTCTGCCGCAGCCATCTACTCACCAATATACTGTTAAACTGTTTAAGTAAGACATTCACCTGAAACGTGTAATTTTTAAACTATAGGTAATGAGAATAACGCACATTTGAGTGAGTCAGTTTAGCATCGTAATTACACAACATATTGATAAATAGATGACTGCGGAACTCGCTGCGCTCGTCCCGCAGAGGTCCACCCATAAGGTCCGCAACAATCCACTCGTTTGTACTTGAATAACTTGTCACATTATGTTACTAGTTTGGTAAAGCAACATGACTAATTCCTGTTGAAAGGCCAATTGACAAAAAGTGGATAAACTTACAAATTATGACTTTATATAATAAGTTATGGTTCAAGTACACATAATGTAATAAAACAAATAGGTAAGCTTGTGGCGCAGTGGTGTGCTACGTATAGTAATTTTTCAGGATTGGTGCAATGGTAACTTTTAATCAGAAAGGCGTGATCTACATTACATACAAAATTCAGCCAATTCTGACATAAACACAATTTCCGTATACTTTGGGCAGGGTCCTTTGCAATTACCTACCTTTTGAGACTCTGAAATCTCATTGCTATTCTAGATTCTAGAACTCATAAGGATCATAAAGACTGTGCTGATCTATGAGGTAAATAATAATGATTCTAGATTTGAGACCTAAGCCTTTGAAGATTCTGAAGTTATCCAAAAAAATAATCCGAATAAGATTTTACAAGGCTTTCGATCTGAAACCTCCGGAAGACCTTATATACCAATTCTTAAAAGTGCCACGAATTGATTCTAGAATGAAGTCTTGCAAGAATTCGAAGGAAGTCAACGAATGAAATGACTTCAAAGATTCTGAAAATCAAAAGCCATTGAAGAGAAGACTTTAAAAATTTTAAGAACTTCAAAGTTTCTTAGGGCTTGAGACTGGGTTTTGAGACACAAAATTAAGTCTCACTAGAATAAGGAATTTGAAGATTTTATATAAAATGTTTGAAGTGTCATTTTTCAATATTTTACAATGTCGACTTTAATATGCCGATTCAAGACTCAAAACTGAAGTCTCCGAAAATTCCAAAGGTGTCAGTTGTTTGATTTGAGGCCTCAAGACTTCGAAGTAAAGATTCTAAAGAACATAACTGAAGATTACAAATTGAAAATTTTCAAGAGTCCATTCTCATTATTTTAGATTTTATAAGAGTCTGCCGATTTAAGCCTTGAAGAATAAATATTCTAGATACCTATTGAGCCTTTGAAGATTTTAAAGCAACTCAAAAATCTAGAGACAGAGATTGATTCAAAAGCTTTTGGAGATTCCGAAGATCTTAAAGGAGGCTCAAAGCTGATGACTTATCAAAATGAAAGACTTCATGACTTAAGACTATTCTGTAGAATAGAATGGAAATTTCTTTAAAAAAATTGAAGATTTTAAAGATTCATAGGCTGATTTAAAGCTATTAAAACTCTAAAGATCATATATTATTTATTAAAACACTTAAAAATGTCTCAAAATTCATGACTTGAAACCAAAGAAACACACCAATAGAGAATTCTTATAAGGGCTTTGAAGATTCATGTTCTCAAGATTCTAGAATATAGTTACCAAAAAATGTAAAACTGTCCATTTCCTGGATTTTGAGACCTTAAGGATATAAAGACTCCGAAATTTTCAAAGATCTCGATAGTTCTCAAGGTTCATTACTTGAGACTGGAATCTGAAATACTGGAAAGACTTATTTGAGACACTACAATCTCATTTTTCTAGATTAGATGTGCCGATCTAAGACCTGAAGAATCATGATTCTAGATTTCGCTTCTAAGACGCTGAAAACTGATGATTTTTCTAAGATTGAAGACTTTAAGATTCTGCTTATTCAATACATAGAGATTCTCATGATTCTATATAAAAACATCAACAAATTTAAAGATTCTGAGCTTAAAAGTGTTTCGATACTCACGAATTAAAACCAAAGGCACACATTGATGGTTTTGAAAACTAATTTTTCAAGGTTTTCTTGATGAATGAAGTCTTCCAGAATTCGAAAGACACCGAAAAATGTAAACTTTTCAAAGATTCTAAGAATCAGAAGCCGTTGAAGAAAAATCTTTGAAGATTTTCAACTTCAAGGTTTCTTTGGGCTTGAGATTTTTTTCTTTTTGAGACGCAACACTAAGACTAACAAGACTGAAGGAACTTGAAGAATTTCTATAATATGTTTGAAGACTCATTTTCCAATATTTCAGAATGTTGACTCCAATCAATAACTCTCTAATAAAGTCTTAAAGTTTGAAGATTTCAAAGCCACCTGATAAATTTTCTTTCTATTATAGAGTCCATTGATGCCTTAGGTCTAGATCCTCTCTACGAAATCCTAAAAATACTCGATTTGCCAATAATACCAAACTTTTTCAATGCCCCAGCCAAAGATTTCAAATTCGATTGGGCCAAAACTGAAGTGGCAATGAAACAAGTATTGGCCATGGACGTTTTCATAGGATTCACTGTCGGTCCGAATATTTTCAAGCGGAACGAAAACGTTATGTATCTGGGCGTATTGTTTCAAAGTTGCCCTTTACCCAGGTAAGAATTTACATTATACAAATACAGCTATACTGAAAACAAGTTTGTAGCCCCTTAAGAGGAAAACACCAAATAATGCGCAAACCATGGAAAACAAGCTTGACGAAACTTGATGATGTTATGACGAATAATAGCGCTGAAGAAGATGAAGATGAAGAATCCAGCCACAAGGAGCAACTAAAAACGAAAATTCGTACAAATATAGTCAAGCATGTCGTTAAGGAAGTTATGAAAGACAATGGCCGGAAGTTACCAGATGTCAAAGAGCTTCAATTGGCAGCTGATATTATTAACAATATTACAACAATAATGGATGATGTAAGAATTTTGTTTATATTTGGTTTGTGAGACGATTACTACTACATTTTTCAAATCAACGATTATCAGTTTCGTATTTTAATTATTAAAGTAATAATCATTCCATCATTCTCCAAGGTTTTTTCAAGAAATTCTGGTGGAATTTGATTGACGCTCAATTTTAGCTTGTAAATGAAAATGAAACATTTCCTTACTTATTTCAGTTGAACGAAAACTTCACTCTTCCCGATGGTCAAGCAAGTGAAGATGAAACACAAAAATTGACTTTCAAGCAACTGCAAGATTTCACCGATAACAACGTCGATTTCCCATTGCCTAATTTTTGGTTAAATTATATAAGCAGCATTTTTGCTAATACAAATGTGACTATTAATGCTGATACTGATTTGTTTCTGATCACGGATACCGAATTAGAATATTTGTGGAATGTTTTGGAATATGTTTCGAGGTAAAAATTAATGATTTCTCTTAGATTAAATACTTGAAATTAATCTTTTTAGTCAACCTCCAGCTCATATTGAGCTCTACATGTGGTGGGCTGCAGTTTACGCAATGATCATCAATACATCTTCCGATGTAACTGATTATGTTATAACTCAAACCAATTTGTATTATTCTAGTACTACTGGAGAGTCATTTTATGTTACTTCGAAGTATAATATCAGTTTTCTTTGTGACTTAAATAATTCTTCTAACACAATCCTATTGTAGATTTATCGATTGCAGTGATTTGGTAAGCAAATACATGGGATGGGCTGTGAGCTATGCAATTGCCGATCGAGCTTTTGCAAATAAAACTAAACCGAAAGTAAGTGTAAAGTCTAGTTTTTGTTTTTAATGTCATAAGTTTTTCAGGTGGAAAATATGATAAATCATATTAAAGAAGCATTTGTGGAGCACGTGCAAGGAATTACCTGGATGGACTCCTCGACAAAAAAAGTTACTTTGGAAAAAAGTAAAGAAATGCTCAGCTTTATTGGCTATCCCGATTGGTTGTTCAAAGATGGAGCTGTAGATAGGAAATATTTAGGAGTAAGTTACCTCTTGGAGCTTGTATTCCTCCATTAATATGCCTAATTATGTTCCAGATTGAAATTAATGAAACAACTTACCTTAACAACATGGTAAGCATAATAATGCAATACACCACAGAAAGCCTTACCAAACTTAGACTCGCAAATCCAAGAGATTGGACCACCGAAGCTGTCATAGTCAACGCCTATAACTCTTTTAGCGATAATGCTATCAGTAAGTCATAAGTATTTGACCAAAAAACAAATATACATATTTGATTTTTTTCGTAGATGTTCCTATGGCAATTTTGAATTATCCTTTGTATGATTTGGGCTTGGAGTAAGGTAATTTATTATTTTAGTGACAATTATTATTGTTAATAAATTTTTAAGGGTTTTGAATTATGGATCGATTGGATCTATACTAGGGCATGAATTGACCCATGGATTCGATAACACGGGCAGAAAATACGATAAATACGGCAGTTACATGCAATGGTGGTCGAATAGGACCATCGAAACTTTCGAAAATATGACCAATTGTTTCATAAAGCAATACGACAATTACACATTGAACGGTGTAAAGGGACATGTAAGAAATTCATGAAAGGAAAGGTGTTGAGATGCTAAAATTTTCTTGATTGATAAAGGTTAAAGGGCTGGCAACTTTAGGCGAAAACTTGGCAGATAACGGGGGATTGAATCAAGCCTACACGGCCTACAAAAATTATAGGAAAAAGTATGGAGATGAGCCCAAACTTCCAGGGTTTGAGGATTATTCTAGCGATCAGATGTTCTTTTTGGCTTATGGAAGCGTAAGAATTCTATTTTATTATATTCAATTTAATGGGTTGAAGTTTTAAAAAAAAGTAGGTAGGTACGTTTACAATGTTTGATGTAACAGCAAGCGCTCACGATGGGTATTAATTTGAAGCTTTGAAAGTTGAATTTCCATTTTTTGACTCCAAAAGATCTCAAAATAATGTCATCTCTCTCTATTCTAAAATCTTCAAAACTTAGTCCTAATAAGAGTCTTTAGAATGTTTAAAGTTTTGTATTGCGTCTTCAGTATTTATAGTCCTAATTCATGAGCCTTTGAAATTTTCAGAATTTCCAGTAAGGGCCTTCAAACCCTTCCAGCTTTATATACGTCAATATATTTGAACTACCTACAACTTACAAACTACGCGCTTTATATACAAAATCATTCAATCGAGAAATCTCTAGAATCACGTTAATGCTAGTTTAAATACATCAGACAATGAGATTCTTGAATTTTCACGCTCGACTGGTAAACAGTGGACCATGACATAAATAATTAGTGAAGTTGAATCAGGATTTGATTCTTTCCAGATCTGGTGCGAATCTTTAACCACAGAAGATCTCAGAAATCAACTAGAATACGACGAACATTGTCCGAATTCAATCAGGGTAATTGGAACCCTTCAAAATTCTGAAGAATTTGCAGAAGCATACAGATGTCCTAGAAATAGTTTTATGAATCCGAAAAGGGAAAAATGCAAAATATGGTAGACCAATATTGAAATACACATATTTACTTATTAGAAAATTTATATTATGTTAGCAATAGTTTAAAAAGTGTGAACCACTGTGTGATATTTTTAGCTGTGCCTTTTAATTTAATAAATAAATTGACTCTACTGATGTTTTCTATAAGTCTAGTCAACCCTATTTTAATGACCACTTAAAAGGTTTTATTACCAGGTACTTGAGTCCTAAAACTGATGAGGTACCTACCTACAATAAAAGTACAATCTTTTGTCTTTTGTTGAGATAAATTCTACTAGAAAGTCAACCCTCAAAGAGGATGTTTATATCCTGAGACTTATTTTCTTATCAATATTTTGCGTTTTATCTTTCACAAACAGACATTATATTTTTACTAATTATAGGTTCAAGCAGAGGCCAGATGCATTTGTTGTAATCGAACCCTAAAAACAAGATTTCATACTGACAGATGTTTTAAAAAATTTAACTCCCCCGCAATAGGTAAAAAATATCAATTAATTTTTCAACCCCCTTCTTTTTGGTAACGGTTGTGTATGATTATTTTATTGAATTCCAGAGACCAATTTTCCTTTAATTATTAATCACGACCCCTTCAAATCCTACCCCCAGAAACGAGTTCGCGTGCTTTCAATTTTTTTCATTTGATTGTTGGGTATAAAACCGCATTTGAAACAGGAAATTGGCGGATATTGAGACCCACCACGTGTACTCAAATTACCTATTGACAAGCCTATTTGTTTTGCTATATGGGTTTTAATATACAAAATAATAAAGGAAAGGGGTTGGATATCAATTTAGTTTTCCCCTGTGTTGACATATCCGTTTTAAAAGTTATGTATTATTCTGTATTTAGAGATGGTTTTTGTTTGCTTATGATACCTATACACCTACTTTATATAATTGTTGTTTAGTTATTTTATAGCGCTTTAATAAAACTGGTTTTCTCTATAGCCATGTGCGGCCACAGAGCTCGTGATGTTACATGTTTCGCAGTCATTGCGATTGCTTCAATGGATTGCTTCATCTTCTACTGTGCAGCTGCTTCATGCTTTTGTCTACTAAATCCTTCAATAGTTTGGTCCATAGAGAAATTGATCGTTGATTGTGATGAGTTGTCAGTTTTGGGAATCTATCTGCCAATTCGATATTACCATGTCCAGGTACCAGGAACCCAGCTTAGTTTGACATACAGGCTGCTGCAATTATGCCTGAGTTTGTATGACTCTTGCATTTTTGGTGCATCTGAGTATGCTCCGACTCCTGTGCCAGTTTTTCTTTTTATGGCATCTGTGAAGATTGATATCTCATTTTTCCTGTTTGTAGGGATTTGATCCCAATCTTCTTTTGAAGGCATATAATCATGTAATCCTGTCCTCGAAAGCATATTTGGCCACTATGTAGTCCGTTGGCTTAAGGAATGTTTCGGCCTCTTGGTGGTCCATCATTTTGTATCCTTAAATATTGTCGAGTGTCTATAATCGGGTTCCTTCCACATTTCGGATTCTTTTAGTCTAAGAGCTCCCTTTGCAGCTGTGACTCTTATGAACAAATATATTGGCAGCAGATTCAGCATAACTTCTAAGGCCGTCTGTATAGTGTGCTTTTTTTTGCTCCCGTTGTACCGAGTACCTACCGCCATTCTCTGGGCTTTGGTGAGCATTCACTATCGTAGTGATGATGATGTGTGGTTGCAATCTTCATTTTTCGCCGAATAGTGTACTGCAGGTGTATACCTACAGCATTTAGGCCTTTTCTTGTGAACAGGACTTAGACTAGCTTGGTTTTTTGAGGGGTTTACTTCCAGTCCGTTCTGTCCTGCCCATTTGGATAGTTCCTTTAATGCTGATTCCATGATTTCACTGATGGTTGATAAGCTGATGCCCCTTATCAGTACTACTACGTCATCAGCAAATGGAATAAATTTTATCCCATTTTCTCTAAAGGTTTTTAGAATCATATTGATTACCAACAGCCACAAGAGTGTAGATATCACTCCTCCTTGTCGAGCTCCTTTGATTATTTTCCTTATGGTATAGTCATTAATTTTTGAATTATTGATTCTGCTTTTCATCATTTTCATTATCCATTGTATCGGGTCTTCAAAAAAAAAAACAATCAAAGATTGCTATGGTTTTTCAAACGTATGTCTTAGCAAAATTTTCCTTTCATTTTGTCAATGAACTTAATGTCAAAATGTCATGTCAAAAATCCTGTCCAATAAAGAAACAGTAAGGCGACGTACGTTTCCGTAATCAAAGCAATCTTTGATTGGTTTTTTTTTTGAAGACCCGATATGATTAATGGTTCTTCCGTCAGATGTTTTTCAACGGACTTATATGCATAAAATTATTGAATGTCCCAAAATACACCTTATATTTCTTAATTTCAAGAAATCTCTCAATTGTTCCAACCAGTTTATGCAGTGCACTGTCAACTGACCTTCCTTTCAGGTTCAGGTATACATGTTGGTCTGGGCATTGCGTGTTTATTCTAGGTAAATGGTCTGGTATGTAGATCAATCAGCGTCTTTAACGAGGAAAATGATAAACTAATTGGTCTTTTGGAGTTGAGATACATAACTTTCCCGCTTTGGGTATAAAGACGACATTACTTCCCTCCATCTTGATGGTGTATGCCCTAGTATTAAGCCGTCAGCAAATATTTTTAGCATTGGTTATAGACTGCTTTTCTGTCTTGAACATCTCCTTGATGGAGGAGTTGAAGTTTGCAAATAGTTCTATAAACCGAACATTGGCTAGAACCTGAAGAACCATATTAATATACGTATGTATATTCCTGGAGTATTTCATCGTTTCAAAATTTTGCAGATCAAATGCCCAACACGAAGGCACAGTTGTCCTAAGTACATGAGTGCATTTTAGAGTGTTTTTCTGCCTTTGATAAGTTTGATGACTTGTTGGTTGAAGAGCCAGTTTGAATTTTCAATTATCAACTCCATAAAATTTAAATGCTTTGTAGTGTGTAGGTAGGTATGTATGGATCTCTGGCATGTAATGTAAATGTATTCTTTGAAAAACTAGAGGTGCTTTTTTCTAAATTCCCATCAAATCATAAAATCGTACTTGCCGATGATCCTAATATACATTTTGAGGATAGGGACAACAGGGCAACTCATAACCTAAACTTGTTTGAGTCATTTAATCTCAATATGCTTGTCCATAGATCTACAAGGGTAAGACAAACATCTTCCACTACAATAGATTACATTCATGAAAATGTCTCTTGTGATATCTCTGACTCGGGTCTTTCTGATCATAATGCTGTTATCGTCAAGATACCAATGCGTTACCTTCCCTGTGCGCAGGACATGGGCGCCGCTAAGATTAGTTTCAGGGAGGTGCATACAGGCAGTGGCAGCGCGTGGATTGTTATATTGGTTCGAATAAGTAATTTAAGAAGCTGAATTCCCGACGCAGGGGCTGCCGGAGGCGCGAAAATTTTTCCAGGTGCCACGCCCAAAAACGGTTATTTTGAACTTTCAAAAAAATAATGTTTTCTACGAGCTTGCGGAAAAGTGTACTTTTCCGCACTAGTGCTTTTTCGCTATTTTCCCGGACTGAATGCGGAAGAAGTAGAATATCTGAAATTTTTAGGTATACAGTTACTTACAGGTATACAGGTATACTACAGGTACAGGTTCGAAAAAGTGAAAAAAATATCTTAAATTGATAAATATGTAGGCAATAGTTATTTATACACCAAGTGAGTTAAATGAATGTTTATTCATGAGAAGAAAGTTTAACCCACGAGCCTTAGCGAGTGGGTTAATTTTCTTCGAACATTTTAGTTCACGTGATTTATACAAAATTTTATCCCATTTCGATAGACATTTGAAAAATAAGGTACTTAATAGGAATCAAATTATGAAAAGAATTCATTTAGTGGTTATGAAAGCGCTAATTATTGAAATTGGTGGTTGCTAGGGTATAACTAGTTGTTTGTTTGTATTTTCAGCAGATTCTATACTGGTAGAGTGACTTAAAAGACCGAGAGTGAGTTAAAAATATTTTAAATCACTGAGGTGATAAACGTCTACTTACCTTTGTTATTATGCGTTCAATAATGTAATTTTTAAACGTCAAAATTGGATAAAAATATTAACTTTCATCTCATAGAAAAAATAGTGTTCCTAACTCGTGCGGAAAGTCTCTTTTCCGCACTTGATTGCTTGCCGAACTCCGCTGCGCGTCGTTCGGCAAACTGCAATCGCGTACGGAAAAGTGGTACTTTCCGCACTTGTTAGGAAATATACTATTTCTAGGTGATTGGGTAAGTTATATGATGTTTTTACTTCGGTGGAAAGTGGCATGGGCTTCTCGCAATTCAATACTTTTTTCGGGGCTATCAAATCGTAAAAATTAAAGAAATTTATATCAATAAACTAGAAATTAAGTAAATTCGAAATTCCCGCCATTCTACAAGTTGATGGCGCGCGAAATAAAAATAAAATAACCCGATCCGAGCTCGAAGTGTCCCGAAGACTGTCGCGGGAAACAAAGAGTGCGGGGGCCATCGTTCTTCGTCTTTCCAATTTTTTGAAACAGTAACTTATTAAAAAAAAAATATATATTAATAAAAAAAAATTCAATGTATTTCTGTTAACAGGGGGGTGCAAGTGCACCCCCTTGCACCCTGCTGCCGGCGCCTATGGCGCAGGATAAGACGCAAACGGAAAGACCATAAATTAGTGGTTAGCACTGAGAATCCACACTTCATTTCCAATTTACGTTTTCGAACAGCCTCAGAAAATCTTACACTGACAACCAATAGATTCAGTCGTATACTACTCAACATACAGAAAAATCTATAGAACTATTATTTGTAAGGCCAAAAACCTTTATTGTTCTCAACGCTTCACAAACTCTCATAACAAAAAACGTCAGCATTGACAGAAGTTTCCTCAATAGTTATTATTGTTCCATTGGTAAGAGACCTTAGCTGTCAAATAGATCCACTCTCCTATTTTTCTGATATAAGCATATCTCTTAATATGTTCGTTCCAGACCACCCCTCACGAACTCAAGCAAACGATTAACTCAATGAAGAACAAGAGAGCAAATAACGAGAGCATCTTTGTCAAGATAATGTTGTCGTTACCGCTTAACGCAAT